AGGGCTCTTCTCCCTTTGGCGGTTGTGTAGAAGGGGGGGATTTTCGGGAAGAAGCAGTCCTTGCTAAAATCCCTGCTTCTTACAGAAAGCCATCTCCAGTTTTCACTCTGGCAACCGTAAGCAGGAAAAATAATTTGCACAATCATCCCTCAGCATTTACTTTGGAGGATCTGGAATTGCCACAGAGTTGAGGAAGGAGATTTAGGATGGAGATGCACCGTACTAAAACCTTAGAATTGAGGTTCCCATCTGAGTGCATCTTTTTGTGTATTGATGCTTCTATACACGCACACTGTCTTATGTGCCTCTAATAGCATCTAAAAGAGGGATGGCAATTATGCAGCCCTCCAGATATTGTTGGATTGCAGTTCCCAGCAGCTCCAGTGAATACCAGTGAATGGAATGAGGAAGGCTGGAAGTTGTAGTCCAAGAGCATCTAGAAGCAGCATAATGCCCATCCCTGCCTAGCTATTATTATTTAGGTTTTTGGTATTGCTTGGCTCCAGGCTGCAAAATATAACTGGTTTCTGTCCATCAGCACTGATGCTGATATTGAAAGGACTGACATTGCAAGATAATTTGTTTGTCTTTTATTGCTCAGTTGGCCGTTTCATTTTGGATCATCTCTGGCAGTCCTTATTTCTGGGGCTCTGGTTGCTATATTTGAGGTTACAGAAGGATGTTTCTTTCAAGACATTTGGATTTGTCCGTCTGTCCCAACCCATTCCCAAATTGAAGCACTTGTTTGAGAAAGCTTTAAAACTCTGCAAGTAGTCTTTTGCAATTTGCTCTCTCCAAAGTACTGTGCTCTTAAGCATACTATATATAGATTGTTCTCTAAGGGACAGTTAGCATTGCTTTGCAGCATGTTATGAATGTTTGTATTCAAAGTGAAACAGTTTATATTAAATGTTTTGTATGAAAAGGAAAATGGTTTCCTACATAATGGATTGGCACAGTTGATTAAAGCAAGCATATGTTGAATACTTGTGAAATCTCATTTGTTTAATTGATTGATTTATATCCTGCCTTTTCCCCGACACAAGAATCAAAGCAGTTTACAGTGTGGATTAAAAACAAAATTACAACTTAAACAGTGGAGAGAATGAGCAATTTTAAAAACAGCAAAAGCAGATGCCATACCAATGGAGTTGTTTCAAGCAAAAGAGGCCGAATCCACACAAATTTTAACTAAAATCTGTCAACAAACATAGGACGTTATCACATGGGGAGTTGCGGGGAGAAAGTGGAAATAAACCAGACGAGCAGAAGACTTTAATTTACGGGATTTGTCCCGTTCCGCCTCGTCTGATAACTAAATTCAAATTTAAAAGGGGGTTAATTCAAACGAAAACCTGATCTTTTCATTTTCGGGATTTTTGAGGAAATGAAAAGATCAGGTTTTTGTTCAAATTAACCCCCTTTTAAATTCGAATTTAGTTATCAGACGAGGCGGAACGGGACAAATCCTGTAAATTAAAGTCTTCCGCTCATCCGGTTTATTTCCACTTTCTCCCCACTATTCCCCGTGTGATAATGTCCATAGAAAACAAAACTATGGCCCACAGATTGGGAATGCTCAATATACATTCCAATCCCCAAGAAAGTGGACATCAGAGATTGCAGTAATCATAGGACCATTGCATTAATTTCCTATGCAAACAAAGTGAAGCTCAAAATTCTGTATAAACAATTTCTACCATATATGGAGTGAGAAATGCCAGATGGCCAAGCTGGGTTCAGGAAAGGAAGAAGCACTAGGGATCGTATTGCAAACACACACTGGATAGTTGAGTGTACCATAGAATTTCAGAAAAAAATCAGTCTGAGCTTTATAGATTATAGCAAAGGCTTTGATTGTGAGATCACGAAAAACTGTGCATCACTCTTTAAACCAGGGGTAGGCAACCTTTTTGAGCCAGGGGCCGGGTTGCTGTCCCTCAGACAATTGATGGGCCGAAGCACCAAAAATAAATAAATAAATAAATAAATAAAAATTAAAATTAAAATTAAAAAAGAATTTAAAAATTTAAAAAAAATGCATGCACACTCTCTCAGCCCCAGAAAAGCCATGGCAAACCCCCTGTGAAGATTTTGCCAAGAAAACCCCAAGAACAAGTAATAACAACAGTAATCAATATCATCATGGGGGGGCGGCGGCGATGGGGGGAGGCGGCGGTGGCAGAACCGGTTTGGGGCCGGTCCAAAGGCCTTGCTGGGCCGCATCCGGCCCCCGGGCCTTAGGTTGCCTACCCCTGCTTTAAACAATGGGTGAACCACAACATTTGATTATCCTGATGCATAACCTGAACTCAGGACAAGAGGGTGGCTGGCAATTGAGCCTCTGATGGCAAGGAAGTCTATCATCTGTGAGCAAGCACTGAAAAGGCCCTCTCCTGTGTCCTCAGCAGATATACCTGTGATGCTTATGCGACCAAGAGAATGCTCTCCCTGATAGATCTTCAGATTCAGGCGATCTCAAGTCCTGCATTAAATTAAAATAAGCACATGTGTAACATTGTTAGGTTTATTTCTATCCCACCCTTTTCCCAATTCAAGACTCAAAAGCATTAAAACATACATTATTAAAGATGTGCGTACCCCCCCCCAGCAGAACAATTAGCAAGAAGAAGCACATTTATTTTGGTGCAATGGGTCTTATACAGTGAATAATCAAAGCACCTGTCTAAACAGAAAAGTCTTTGCTTGTCTTTGAAAAGAAAGTAGGAAAGGTGCCAGTCTAACTTGTCGGAAAGGGGAGTCCCAGAACCTGGGGTCAGCCACTAAAACCGCGTAAGTCTTAGGCTGCATCTATACTGTAGAAATAATGCAGGTTGACACCACTTTAAGCGCTGTAGCTCCATGCTATGGAATCCTGGGATTTGTAGTTTGGTGAGGCACCCACCCTCTGGCAGAGAAGGCTAAAGACCTGGTAAAACTACGAATCCCAGGATTCCACAGGATGGACCTACAGCACTAAAAGTGGTGTCAAACTGCATTGTTTCCACGGTGTAGATGCATCTTTATACAACAGAAACTGTTTTGAGTATACTAGTCATCACAGTGTATGATAAGGGCCATAGTTGCAGGTCTATAGATATACTTGTTAAGGGGTGGGTGGGTTTTGGGGATTGTATATTTTGGTGTTTTATCGTTGTAAGCTGCCCTGATTACATTTGCAGAGGGGTAGGATATAAATAAATTATTATTATTATTATTATTATTATTATTATTATTAAAAAGCAGGCCACTGATTGGTCCAGATTGGGCATTATTGCCATTGTTGTGTGCCTTCAAATTGTTTCCAGTTTATGTTGACCCAAAGGTGAACCTATCGTGAGATTTTCTTGCAAGGCTTTATTCAAAGTACACTGTGTTTGCCTTCCTCTGAGGCTGAGAAAGTGTGACTTGTCCAAGATCACTCAGTGGGTTTCCACAGCCAAGCAGGGATTCAAACCCTGGTCTCTAGAGTCATAGCCCATATCACACTGGTTCTCAGATTACACGTTCCAATGTCATATTCCATTCCCGCTACAAACCTCACATATCTCATTTTTATTGCTATTCTGATTTTTATTGCATTATTATGATCCCAATGCTTGTTTAACCAGATTCCGCGGTATTTGTCTACTCATTCTACATTTTCATTTCAAATCACTGTCAGCCATTTATTAGGCTCCTTCCTTTCTATTGATTACTCTTCACTTGGTTTTCTTAAGATTCATTTTTAACCCAGGTTCCATTACTTGCTTCATTAGCTTTCATTGATCCATCTTTGCAAACCATCTAAGTTGTTGGTTAGTAATACCGTATCGTTAGCATTATAGATTTCTTTGGTAATCTCTCCATTGACATGTACCAAATGGCTTGGATCCTGTTGGTAACTTACACAGAAATAAATCCTCTTTCAGAAGCAGGTGGACATGATGTGAAGCATCTGCATTCATTCGGAGGTTGCAGAAGCAGAGTTGCACATGGGATGCCGTTATACATGCATGTGCACAGGTGGCATGTGCATGGATGGATGCACACTGTGCATTTTGTCACACATTTTGTTTCAGATTTGATGTCTTGTTTCTGTTCCACATAGGGTTATCACATCTCAGGCCCTGACCCTGAGTCTCCAGTACTCAGGGGCAAGTGGGAGGAATCCCAGGGCAAGAGTACTGCCTTGAAAATGTGTGTACCTTTTTAATGGGTGCTATGAGGCCAGCTATGATTGGGTATTTCAAAAATGATTCCACTTTAAATCTATCTATCTATCTATCTATCTATCTATCTATATCTATATCTATCTATCTATCTATCTATCTATCTATTAACAACAATACAACAAAATGCATATTAAAGTGGACACATATGTCCTGTCCCAAAGGCTCCCTGCCTCCAATGAGGTGCCAGCATAGAACTTAATTTCAGATTTCTATCTGCGAGGCCCAGTATTTTGGCAAAATTTGGATGCAAATCTTAAAAGCCCTAAATAAAATTTAAAAATACAAAAATTAGAAGCAAATGCAATATAGAAATTCCACTGCAAATTATTATCATTATCTATTTATTTTATTTATAGGCCTCTTTTTGCCCAAACCGGGGGCTCACAAAATGCTTAAAAACAGCAACAATAAGACAGTACAAATTTCAAACACAATTCAAACACCACATTAATATAACAAGTAAAAGTGTAAAATCTATAAAAATACTGAGCTAAATATATAAAACCGTTCAAAACATACCATAGCAAACACACCAATAAGAAGACTCCCTGAGTGCAATTACATATTAAAAGCCTGTTTGAAAAGAAAAGTTACAAAGAATTTAACCCATTTTGTCCCCTCCTAACTTTGTTGTGGCGTGCCTTCAAGTCAATTCAGACTTATATCGACCCTAAGGCAAACCTATCATGGGGTCTTCTTGGCAAGATTTCTTCAGAGGATGCTTGTCATTGCCTTGCCCTGAGGCTGAGAGCATGTGCCTTGTCCAAGGTCATCCAGTGGGTTTCATGGCCAAGCTGGGAATTGAACCCTGGTCTTCAGAATTGTGGTCCAACATCTAAACCACTATGCCACTCTACTCTCAAACCCCTCATGACTACACAACTGAAAACCCCATTCCTTTATTGAAGTTGAAAAGGGCCTGATCCTTAGTCCTGGCGACTGCAGATCCTGTATCATCATCATAATTATAATGACAGAGCTCTGTAACTATTTATGACTGATGAAGCCCACCGAAACCAACCTTTGCAGCCCAGCAAACCCCAACAGAAGCATTTCCAAGGTGCTGGAGGATTGAGCGCTAGGAAATGTAGTGGTTGTGAATATGTAACTATAGGCTGCATATTCCTGATTGCCCAACAGAATTCCTCCTAATTTTGAGCTGGAATCTCTTTTCCTGTAGCTTACATCCATTGCTCCATTGTGTCCTACAAGCTTGCTCCATCCTCAATATGGCACCCCTTCAAATATTTAAACACGGCTACCATATCACCCCTTAACCATCTCTTCTCCAGGCTAAACATACCCAGCTCCGTAAGTTGAGTCTCTCCCCATAGGGCTTCATGGTTTCCTTCACCATTTTGGTCGCCCTCCTCTGGACACACTCCAGCTTGTCCACAACCTTTTTGAACTGAGATGCCCACAACTGGACACAGTATTATGAGGCCTGACCAAAGCAGAATAGAGTGGCACTATTACTTCCCTTGATCTAGACACTATACTTCTATTAATGCAGCCTAAAATGGCATTGGCCTTTTTAGCTGCAGCATCACACTGTTGACTCATGTTCAACTAGTGGTCTACTAGGACTCCTAGATCCCTTTCACACAGAGTCTTGTTAAGCCAGGTGAGTCCCGTCCTAGATAGGCATTTCATTTTTTCTGTCTAAGTTACGTACCTTACATTTCTCCCTGTTGAAGATCATTTTGTTAGTTTTGGCCCAGCTTTTTAATCTCTGAGGGCTTCTAGGTTTTTAGTCTTAAGAACCGCAGCCACATTGTGATCATTTTTAAATTATTGTTGTATTTTATTGTATGTTGGAAGTGTAACAATGGGATATTGTGGAATGTTTTAATCATTTTAATTATTATGATCTTATTTTGTTTTAATTTTGCCAATGGATTTTAACGATGTTATTTGTTTAATAATGTTTTAAGGGGAGGGAATGTTGTCTATTGTAATTGTGTTTTATGTTGTAAACCGCCCAGATTG